GACAGAGCAGTATTTTTCATTCCTTTCCTTCCAGTCATTTCAGAGACCACAAGGTTTAAAAATATTTCGGGATATTTGTAAGTATTCATGACATCATTTAAGTAGTTCTTTTTTTTTTTTTTTTTTTTTTGACGGAGTTTCGCTCTTGTTACCAAGGCTGGAGTGCAATGGCGCGATCTCGGCTCACCACAACCTCCGCCTCCTGGGTTCAGGCAATTCTCCTGCCTCAGCCTCCTGAGTAGCTGGGATTACCGGCACGCGCCACCATGCCCAGCTAGTTTTTTGTATTTTTAGTAGAGACGGGGTTTCACTATGTTGACCAGGATGGTCTCGATCTTTTGATCTCGTGATCCACCCGCCTCAGCCTCCCAAAGTGCTGGGATTACAGGCTTGAGCCACTGCGCCTGGCCTTGAGTAGTTCTTAAATTAACCAAAATGATTCATGCAAATGATTTATTTGCTTCAAAAGCAATCTACAAATTCAAGTAGTGGGCCAAAGAGAAAAATCCGCACAACAGTTTCAGTGTAACCACAAAGATCACAGTATTCAATATTACCTTCAATATGGCAGATTTGTAGTAGCTGGAAATTTAAAATACAGAAGGTAAAATTTATGAAGGAGCTGATCAGAAAGAAATGTAGTTTTTATGACAGACAAAATTATTCAGTGGATCCAGATAAGAGGTAAAGCATGAATTCTGCAATTCATTCACTCATTGGCTAATGGTATTCATTCATTACTTGGAACTTTAACAGCTTCCTAGTAAACAGCAAGTACCTCTCCTGTATGTGAGATACTTTGACTGACCTATCCTGGGTACTTAGAATGGTGCCTGGTGCACACAGTTACTGAAGAAGTATTTGTTGAATGAATCGATGAAATTTACTTTCTTGATTTTATACTTCAGGATATTTTCAACCTGACTACTTTAGTTCAATAACCTAACCCACTTCAACTTTCCTCAAGAATTTAGAGCAGGCTGGGTACAGTGCCCACACCTGGAATCTCAGCACTTTGAGAGGCCGAACTGGGAAGATCACTTGAGCCCAGGAGTTTGAGACCAGCCGTCTCAAACATAGGCAGACCCTGTCTCTACCAAAAGTAGTTTTAAAAGGTAACCAGGTGTGGTGGCACACACCTGTGGTCCCATCTATGTGGGAGGCTGAGGTGGGAGGTCAGCCTGGGAAGTCGAGGTTGCAGTGAACAGCTCTATCCTGAGCTACAGAGCAAGGCTCTGTCTCAAAAAAAAAAAAAAGAAAATATGAACAATTTACAACTCTGGCAGTAAAACACGAGCAGCAGAGAACCTTTACAGGCATTGCCTATAATCCTATTCATGATGATATATTTTCTAAAAACAAGTCACAGGCCAAAGGATCACTGTCCGCCATTTTTTGAGGTAGATGTTACAAGACCTGCATATCGGTCAGGGTTCCAGGCAGAAATAAATAGTGTACTCCAGTGGGAAAATTGAAATTCTTTTTCAAGGTGTTGGGCGAGGTTGAAGAAAACCAACAAGGATGGTGAAACAGCCCTAAACTGGCAATGATAGGGCACCATGACCAGGCCCCACAGAGAGAGCCGTTGGTGCTGGGAGGGCCACTTGGCAGGAGCAGTGACCTTCCTAGAGAAACACAGCAGGGAGCAAGCCAGGGTCAATATTCGGATGCCTTCCTCCTTTCTCCAGTCTCTGCCGAGGTCTCTCATTGGCCAAACCAAACAGATGACCTTAGGGCTCAGAAGCCTTGGATGCAGTCCTGGCCGGTCTGTCTGTCCCAAGGGGCACATGGCAGGGGGAGAATGGATCTGGAAGGACAAATGGAGGCTCTCCAGCCAATAAAAACTAGCAGAGCAAATGTAAAAGAATAGATGTTTCCTGGCCAGGCGCAGTGGCTCACGCCTGTAATTCCAGCATTTTGGGAGGCCTGAGGTGGGTGGATCATGAGGTCAGGAGTTCAAGACCAGCCTGGTCAAGATGGTGAAACCCCGTCTCTACTAAAAATACAAAAATTAGCTGGGCGTGAAGGCGGGTGCCTGTAATTCCAGCTACTCTGGAGGCTGAGGCAGAGAGTTGCTTGAACCCAAGAGGTGGAGGTTGCAGCGAGCCAAGGTCTTGCCACTGCACTCCAGCCTGGGCAACAGAGCAAGACTCCATCTCAAAAAAAAAAAAAAAGAATAGATGTTTCCAGAGCTTTACTTGGAGGACACAGCTACTGCCATTTTGAATCCCTTCTCCTAAGCAAAGCATATTCTATCCAAAGACAATGTATTTTAAGAACATCAGATTATTTTTTCTACTACACATGGTCTTATGCCATAAAAGGAATTATGCTAATCCAATCTGTCAATGAAACTCGGAAAAGATGGCTATCAGAGGTGGCACGGAAACATTGTAGGGAAATCATGGAGAGACACCAAGAAATAAATGGCTTTCTAACGCAAGAGGGAAAAAGTTGAAGTCCATAAGCAGATAGGTTATCAATCCAGCAGCATCTCTTAGGAATTAAGTGATTGTTCACAAAGGTAAGATTTGTTGGAGCCTACATTGAATTTAATGCCAGTCATCCTTGTATGTTAAACTGTATTTCCATAGCTGGAGATATGACAGACTTTCCTTTTGTGACATTTTGTCTTATGATATAGTTTTGAGTCTGTCCGTGGGATTTCCATCACTGAAATCAGGATTAGAGACAAGGAATCTTCCTTATATTAAGTAGGAAAGCAATCTGTTAAGCCAGCCCTCACTTAGGGATAAAGCTATTTTAATAAAGCACAGACATTCATGAATAAGATGTGGCTTTGTGTTTATAATATCCCTGAAAGCTTCTCTGATCGTAAGGGAAAAATCTCCCACCAATAAAATATAAGCAGTTTAATCACTAAGTCGCCATGCACAAAGGTGAACTCACACTAGTGGCCCACAGTCGACGGAACTGAAGTGTGATGTTTTTCTTGCATTATCGTACTGTCAGACAATGCCTGTCACATTAGAAGAAAAAAATCTTCAAGAGGAAGACATACAGGAGCTAAGTAAATAAGTAAATAGACCCTTTTTTTTTAATATTCGCTTTCCATCAGAAAGTCACTTACACTGTATAACAACTGCCTGAACAGATACTGTATTGCGGCATGGGTCAACAAGAGAGAGGGGCTTTCTTTGTTGATGATTTTCAACAGAAAAATATGGAAGATGTCCATTTGGAAATGCTTTCTCTCGAGTCCAGAGCTGAAACTAATACTACACTATTGCAGTCAACCTGCTGTTATTCCTGCCTCAAATACATGTTCTTAAAAATGCTTTTGTCCTATAAAGCACAAAGCTCTGTACAACTAGAATGAAATCCTTGAGTCATTTGCCTGCTTCCCTGTGCAATTAAAGTAGGTGAAATGGTAGACTATGGCAGTAACATACACAAAAATAATGAAGACGGCAGAACCTACATTAGTTTCTCATTGGAATTTTTGTCTGACTTTTAGAAGGAATGAGAACATTTTTAAATGTAAGTTCTTAAGGTCCTAGGAATTAGGTATCGATTTATTTTCCTGAAGTTAGAGCCTCCATACGCTTGAAAAGGAGATGAGTGACCACGGGTGAAACTGTTAGAATAACCCTTCCCAACACCCGTTCCCCTTTCCCTCCTCAGTAACAGAACATCTCAATAACAGAGCAACAAAATTGGTGCCCAGCTAAATGCTTTTACTCTATTTCCAATTCTCTATTTTAGTGAGGTGTGGCCATGGCTGTGCCTTTGTTCTGGTCCCTAATGTATGATATATACAAGTGCAAATGTGGCTGTGAGGGATTTCATAAGGGTTTTCCTTAAAGGGGAGGACATAGGCCATTCCACCCACCTGCAACTCCCTCCCTGGAGTGTGGATGTGATGGCTGGAACTCCTGTGGCTATCCCTAACCCTGAAGTGATTTTGAGGCTGGCAGAGCAGAAGGCTGGAAGCCTGAAGCCCTGATGATACCCTGGAGCTGTCGGAGGCCATTCTTGGACTGCCTGTCCCCTGACATTTATATGTGAGAAAGGTACATCTATCTTATTATTCGAGGATTTTTTTTTCTTTTCTTATTCTTTTTTTTTTTTTTTTTTCGAGATAGGGTCTTGCTCTGTCACCCAGCCTGGTCTCTGCAGCCTCAACCTCCTGGGCTCAAGCAGTCCTCCCACCCCAGCCTCCTGAGTAGCTGGGGCTACACAGGCACCATGCCCAGCTAATTTTGTATTTTTGTAGACCAGCCATGTTACCGAGGCTGGTCTCAAACTCCTGGGCTCAAGCAATTCTCCCAAAGTGCTAGGATTACAGGCATGAGCCACCACACCCAGCCATGATTTTCTTACTCAATTAGCCTGATAAAGTCATACTATACTTCCTGATGCGGAGGAACTGCTCTTTCTTTTTCTTCATGCTGCAGCTTTATGGTTTTATTACTTATTTATTTTTATTTTCATGTTTTCATTGATGTAGGGTCTCTCTCTGTTGCCCAGGCTGGAGTGAAGTGGTGCGATCTTAATTCACTGCAGCCTTGACCTCCCAGGCTCAAGGGATCCTCCCACCTCAGCATCCCAGGTAGCTGAGACTACAGGCATGCCGCCACCACACCACCAGGCTAATTTAATTTTATGTAGAGACAGGGTCTCACCGTGTTGGCCAGGCTCATCTCAAACTCCAGGGCTCAAGTGCTCTGCCCATCTTAACCTCCCAAAGTGCTAGGATTACGGATAGAAACTACTGCGCCTGGCCAAGAAGGACTGTTAAACTTGACTACATCCTCTGACTTGACTGTACCTAGACTGTTACCACTGCAGTGGTGAAGACATCTAGGTTCCTAAGTTTCTATGCCCAAGGTAACGTACCCAGGGCAGAGGCCCAGTGCCACAGGGCTGCCTGGCCCCAGAGCAGCTTCACGGGCTGCACACTTAGGAGCCTGCACACTTTGGGTTTGATGCTCTACAGCTGCTGTCTTTAATTTATTAAGAATGTTATCTTGATCCAGGTGCAGTGGCTCATGTCTGTAATCCCAGCACTTTGGGAGGCTGAAGTGGGTGGATCACCTGAGATGAGGAGTTCGAGACCAACCTGACCAACATGAAGAAACCCCAAATCTATTAAAAATACAAAATTAGCTGGACATGGTGGCACATGCCTGTAATCCCAGGTACTTGGGAGGCTAAGGCAGAAGAATTGCTTGAACCCACGAGGCAGAGATTGTGGTGAGCCAAGATCACACCATTGCACTCCAGCCCGGGCAATGAGTGAAACTTCATCTCAAAAAAAAAAAAAGGAATGTTGTCTTGAAATTTGTGTTGTGTAAGTGAAGTCCAGTGGGGCAATGGCACGTGCAGCAACCGGCACCTGGGTTCACCCAGGCGATCACCTTCCCAGCTCCCCCACATCCCAGGATACATCTTCAGCTGCCCATCCCTCTGTTACCACCCAGTGACCACCGCTGTTCTCCTCCCTGGACCAAGTCCTGGCTGCAGGGACGAGGAGGCTTCAGGTAGGTCATGCACTTTCTGTGTACCAAGTCACCAAGCAAGACCCCAGGCAATATGAGGTTTTGCGTTCACCACAAATGTCTCCATTCCCAGGAGAACATGACATTAAATAGCAAATAAAAAATACCATGATTGGTGGAGAAAGAGACTGCCGGTGAAGGAAGGAAAAAGCTTTTTTTTCAGCTTTTGAATGAGGACTCTCGTATTTTCATGTTGCCTTGGGCCCTGAAAACTACACAGCTGGCCTTGCCTGGCACAAAAATGGAAAGGACCCAGGAACAGATACCAGGACCTGTGTCCAGTTCCACCTAGCCTTGCTGCAGGAGCAGGGCAGGCCTCCTGGGTGTGCTGGAGGTGCCACCCTCCCCGCCCTCGCGGATGCTCCAGTGGCTGAAGCTGGAAATACAGGAAACTCTGCCAAGAAACCTTTTCTAGTCCCAGTCAAGGAGTCAGTGGCACCTCCCACACCTCAGTGTCGCCTTGACGCTCTGTTGAGCCAGGCTGCTTCCAGCTTGAAATGCTTGGAGGTGGAGCATGCTAGTAAATGTTTAACAACGAGCTCTCTGGGGACTGGAACCCTCATTTGTAGCATTTGCTGATTGCCATTGTGTAAATAGTCCCATGAAGGCCAATTTTCGAGCTACCAATATTTGATCATCTTGAAAATTTAGCAAAAGTCTGGCTGGGTGCTGTGGCTTACGCCTGTAATCCCAGCACTTTGGGAGGCCAAAGCAGGCAGATTGCCTGAGGTCAGAAGTTCAAGACCAGGCTGGCTAACATGGTGAAACCCCGTCTCTACTAAAATACAAAAACATCTAGACATGGCGTGCACCTGTAATCCCAGCTACTCAGGAGGCTAAGGCAGGGGAATTGCTTGAACCAGGGAGGTGGAGGTCGCAGCGAGCCGAGATCGTGCCACTATTCTCCAGCCTAGGTGACAGAGCAAGACTCTGTCTCAAAAAAAAAGAAATTTAGCAAAAGTCTTGAAAATTTAATAATTGGCTCTCCAAAGCTAATGCAAGCATGGTATTGCACACTACTGCTTGGAGGAACGAGGAAAGAGAACTCATTGTGATTTCATCTATAATCTGAGACAATATGAGCAGGGAATTTACAGAAGAAAAACTGAAGAACCAGCAAATATGCATCGATGTTCAAACTCACCAGTGATCAAGATAATGCAAATAAAGCACTAAGGAGATAACCACTTTTTAAAAAGCCGGTGGATAACAAGGTTAAATCTCAAGTTGTGAGATGCATGACTTGGGAATGTAAATCTGGGCAGACACTTTGGAGAGGAATTTGATAGTATCCAATACAACGTAGACGGTGGGTAAGCCCCGAAGTTCCTCCTGGAGCTTAGAGAAGTTTCCGCAGGTGCTCAAGGATATTCTCTGAAGTTTCCTTTTTTGTTTTGTTGTTTTGTTTTTGAGATAGAGTCTTGCTCTGTTGCCCAGGCTGGAGTGTGATGGTGCAATCTCAGCTCACTGCAACCTCTGCCTCCTGGGTTCAAGCAATTCTCTTGCCTCAGCCTCTCGAGTAGCTGGCACTGCAGGTGCACGCCATCACACCTGGGCAAATTTTGTAGTTTTAGTAGAGACAGGGTTTCTCCATGTTGGCCAGGCTGGGCTTGAACTCCTGACCTCTGCCCACCTCAGCCTCAAAGTGCTGGGATTACAGGCATCAGCACTGTGCCCAGCCCCAAAGTATTCTAATCGTAGTGAACTCCTGGTGCCGTCACACAGACTCAACAAAGACCAACTCAGGGCCAATCTAGCTTCAGTTTTCTCCCCATCTGCTTCTCCACTTTCCAAGTTAATTTGAAGTAAATCTCAGACATCGTCTTGTTTTGTCTGTAAATATATTTCTATCTCTGAAAGTAAAAATCCAAAAGCCTGCGGTAGGCTTTTTGTTTAATATGAGAGAGAGAGACACCCCAGCAGTGTCACCAAGGAAGGGCAGATAAGAGGCAAAGTACTTTGACAGGAGCTATGAAGCCTGGTTAGTTTAAGAGTAACATTTCCAGTGCATTCCCTGAGGAAATTGTCCCTGTCCCCTCACAGACACAGCGGGCTACAGGATCAGCCTTCTGTTGTTTGGCAGATTTCGAGGTCAAACAGAATCTGTACTAGGTAATCAGCTTAGTGGATAATAAACCCAGGACTTAAACCTGCAGAGTACTTACAGACTCTCAGTGTAAGGGGTTGATTCATGTCTGCATAATGTTTCCCTTGAATACTGTACCTCATTGTCACTCTTTGAGAATATGTGCCTGATTAGTTACGCCCAGCACAATAAAAATGCCAAATATTTGACTAACCACATGAGCAGTCTTTAAAATGATGGTGACTTTGATTGCTAAATTCACTCCCAGGTCTGTCAGGTGGTTTGCGTGCAATATTTCATCCAGGAAAAAAAGGTGTGCTAATAGCAATGACGTTACATACTGTTTGTCAGCCTTAATCAAAATAATATCCTGGCCGGACTCAGTGGCTCACACCTGTAATTCCAGCACTTTGGAGGTGGGCGAATCACGAGGTCAGGTGTTTGAGATCAGCCTGGTCAACTTAGTGAAATCCCATCTCTACTAAAAATACAAAAAATAGCCAAGTGTGGTGACAGGTGCCTGTAATCCCAGCTACTCAGGAGGCTGAGGCAGGAGAATCACTTGAATCTGGGGGGTGGAGGTTGCAGTGAGCCGATACCGAACCATTGCACTCCAGCCCAGGCGATAGAGCAAGATTTTGTCTCAAAAATAGTAATAATAATAATAATAATAATTTCCGTTTCCCAACTGCTGCTTTGGTCTGTGCTTTGTGAAAGGAGTTTTAGAATTTTGTTTTAATCTGAAAATTGGCTAGAAAGGTTAAAAAAAGTAGAAAAGGAAAAACATGAAACATGTCTACATTTTTTTTTTTTTTGAGACAGAGTCTTGCTCTGTTGCCCAGATTGACGTGCAGTGGCACAATCTCCGCTCACTGCAATCTCCACCTCCTGGTTCAAGCGATTCTCCTGCATCAGCCTCTTGAGTAGCTGGGATTACAGGCACGCACCACCATGCCCGGCTAATTTATTTATTTATTTTTTTTAGTAGAGATGGGGTTTCACCATATTGGTCAGGCTGGTCTCGAACTCCTGACCTCGTGATCTGCCACCTTGACCTCCCAAAGTACAGTGGTGTGAGCCACTGCACCCAGCCCTGAGACATGTCTACATTTTAAGAGATGCCATAGTAAAAGCTTTGTACATTATATAGTTTCCAATTTGGTGCTAGAAAACTTCCAGAATACAACAGAGAAATTATCCGTACATGGAATATGGTTTCATAATTCCAACACAGGATACATAATTCCCCCACATTGTTTCCTTAGTTTTATTCAGTAAAAACCATTACTGTATCCTTAAGCAGTGAGTGCTGGTAGAGTGGGGAGAGGAAAGTTAGTGTAAAAGAACTGTAATGTATTAGGAAAAAAATTTCCAGGCTGGGTGCGGCGGCTCACACCTGTAATCCCAGCACTTTAGGAGGCTGAAGCAGGTGAATCACTTAAGGTCGGGACTTTGAGACCAACCTGACCAATATGGAGAAACCCCATCTCAGCTAAAATTACAAAATTAGCCAGCATGTGGCACATGCCCATAATCCCAGCTGCTCCGGAGGCTGAGGCAAGAGAATTGCTTAAACCCAGGAGGCCAAGGTTGCAGTAAGCTGAGATCACACCATTGCATTCCAGCGTGGGCAAGAAAATCCATCTAAAAAAAAATCTGGATTGTGATGAAACCATCGTGATCGTGAAAGCGCAAGCATACCAGAATCTGGTCCATTTTTCAGTCATGGGACGTCAGCCTCTTGCCCCACAGCTGGTTGGTGCTACTATCAGACTGAATCTTCATCTAGAGCAATGGCTAAATTGAAATGTAGTTACTGGAACGGAACGTTGCTATATGATGAATGTCAGCTACTCTGAAAGGAGAAAAGACAGTGCTGTGGCCTCCACATCCGCAGAGCAGCAGCCCTGCCCTCTGGACTCCCCTAATTATGCCTCTGTCCCTGAAGCAACACGACTATTTTCCTCTCCATACCCTCCAATCCCTGTCCCACTTTCATAAGCTCTTTATAATAAAGAACATTCTCTTTATTGATTAATTTTGTGAATTATAAAGGTAGTTGGTTGATTTTGAAATTTCATGCTGGGGATGGGGAGTGGAGGGGCTCCTAAGAGGGTGCCCCTGCCTCTTCCCTCTTTCTGCCTTGGCAGCAAGACAGGGTGGTGGTTGGGAGCTTGGGCTCTAGGATCACCTGAATAACACCAGCTGTGGTATTGAGCTAGACATTGCCTCAGGTGGCCTCTGTTTCCTCATCTGTAAAATGGGGATGGTGATACACTCACCTTGAAGGGTTGTCGTGAAGACTAATGGAGAGAACGTGTGTGCCCCGACCTTAGCAGCGTGGTGGAGGAAGCTGATCACAGGGCTGAGCCTTAGAGAACCTCCTTCAGGGCCTCCTCAGCCCAAACTGCTTCCAACTCCTTCTCTGCACATAGGCCAACCAGCCACTTCTCACTAGACCTCTTTTTTTTTTTTTTAAGGTGGGAGGGGTAAATGAGATCATCAATAAATTCCCTTCCAGGCATAAAGTTCAATTAACCCCTTTTGAAATGACTGACTCAGTGCAAAACAATATACAGAATTCTCTAGTATATGACATTGTGACCAAATAACATAGCTCCTCCTTCCATAGATTAAACCTACACATGGGATCTGGCACAGTGGCTCATGCCTGTAATTCGAGAACTTTGGGAGGCCAAGGCAGATGGATCAAGTGAGCCCAGAAATTCAAGACAGCCTGGGCAACATGGGAAAACCCCGTCTCCACAAAAAATACAAAAATTAAGTGGGTGTGGTAGTGCACACCTATAGTGCCAGCTACTTGGGAGGCTGAGGTGGGAGGATCACAGGAGTCTACGAGGTGGAGGCTGCAGTGAGCGGTGATCACACCACTGCACTTCAACCACTGTGACGGAGTGAGAACCTGTCTCAAAACAAAAACAAAACCCTCCATGCGAGAAAGTCTTATGCAGGGCTCTGAGGTGGATAAACCCAGAGGGAACTGGTGGATCCCCGATGAACAACGAGCTTTGTGTTTATGAACCTGGAGGAACTGCCCTTTCTTTTACCCCAGTGACAAAGGATTTTTTTTTTTTTTGAGACAGAACAGCCTGGCTCTGCCACCCAGGATTGTGCAGTGGCACAATCTCAACTCACTGTAACCTCTGCCTGCTGGATTCAGCAGTTCTTCTGCCTCAGCCTCCTGAGTAGCTGGGATTACAGCCACCAGCCACCATGCCTGGCTAATTTTTGTATTTTTAGTAGACATGGGGATTCTCCATGTTGGCCAGGCTGGTCTCAAATTCCTAACCTCAGGTGATCCACTCCGCTCAGCCTCCCAAAATGCTGGGATTACAGGTGAGCCACCGCATGACTGTTTTAGGAAATTGCTGTGACCTCTCAAAGCCCACTGTTCTCGTGTGTGTGTGTGTGTGTGTGTGTGTGTGTGAGAGAGAGAGAGAGAGAAAGAGAGAGAGAGAGAGAGAGAGAGATGATCTTTCCTATGGCATCAAGTGTACATTTACCTTTATTTGTACCACATTTGACTGTTTGCAAAGCATTTTCACCACCATTATCTCATGATTTAATGAACTAAGCCAAATTCTAGCAATTTCATAGGGTCTACTTCCTCCTGAGTAAAGCCTTTTCTGGAAATGTCAACAGTTCTGGAGAATTTGAGGACCTCTGATCCATCGAAGTTGAAGCAACTCAACTGGGGATCCCACCGAAAGATATTATAGCCACTTCTGAGAACACATTTTTTCACTAACATTGTTGAATCATATGTGTGCATGTGTTTGTGTAAGAAGCATATGTCATGGAGTTTAAGATGTCCATTTTTTCACGTCTCATGTATTTGAATTTGAGATGCATCTCACAATAGTCTTTGCTTTCTGTCTTAACCCTGTACACTGGTTTGATAGTGTCACCTGGAACCTCAGAATGTGACCTTCTTTGGAGACAGAGTCTTTATAGATGTGATCATAAGATGAGGTCATACTGTTTTAGGGTGAGTGCTTAATGCAACATGATGAGATTCCTTAGATGGAGAGGAAAGGACACACAAGGACACCAAGAAGACACAGGGAAGAAGGTCAGGTGACAATGGAGGCAGTTTGAAGTAATGTGTCTAGAAGCCAAAGAACACCAAGGGTTACTGGCAAACACCAAAAGCTGGGAAGAGGCAAAGAAGGATCCCTTCCTAGAGCCTTTGGGGGCGGCACGGCCCTGCTGTCACCATGCTTTCTGATTTTTGGCCACCAGAAAAGTGAGAGTGGCTGGGTATGGTGATTCATGCCTGTAATCCCAGCACTTTGGGAGGCTGAGGTGGGCAAATTGGCTGAGCTCAGGAGTTTGATACCACCCTGGGCAACACAGTAAAACCCTGTCTCTACTAAAATACAAAAGAAATTAGCCAGGCATGGCAGCGTGCACCTGTAGTCCAGCCTACTCAGGAGGCTGAGGCAGGAGAATGCTTGAATCTGGAAGGCAGAAGTTGCAGTGAGCCAAGATCATGCCACTACACTCCAGCCTAGTGACAGAGCGAGATTCCATCTCAAAAAAAAAAAAGAAAGAAAAAGAAAGAAAGAAAGAGAAGATGCATATTAGGTAACCATGATGTCAGTCTTTTGCTGGGCACAAGAGAAATGGTGAGTCTCATACAAAGTTCTTACATTCAATTTGTGGAGTGCTCTGAACTTGTCTTTAAAGGATAAACTTTTGCTGCCCTTTCCCCAGCCATCTAAAAGTCAGAGAGCCTTGGCAACCATAGAAAAGGGAATAAACCATCCTCGGAGCTGAGCTTCATCCTGGGACAAGTTCCAGAGTCCTGTGTCCCCACGCCTCTCCTCCCTACAAGGTTTCAGGAGCTCTGGGTTCTCCTGAAGCCATTCCCTCCTCTCAGCCAGGGCACTCCTTATAGTCCTACCCTGGGTGCATTAGGGTGCAGGGAACACAATATGGTACTATTTGCATGTGGTTCCTTTTCAAGGAAGGAAGGGAGGGAGGGAGGGAGGGAAGGAGGCAGAAAGGGAGAGAAGGGCCAGGGGAGTGGCTCACACCTGTAATCCCAGCACTTTGAGAGGCTGAGGCGGGCAGATCACAAGGTCAGAAGTTCGAGACCAGCCTGGCCATCATGGTGAAACCCCATCTCTACTAAAAATACAAAAATTAGCCAGTCATGGTGGTGAGTGTCTGTAGTTCCAGCTATTCAGGAGGCTGAGTGAGGCAGGAGAATCGCTTGAACCCGGGAGGTGGAGGTTGCAGTAAGCCTAGATCATGCCACTGCACTCCAGGCTGGGCAACACAGCAAGACTCTGTCTCAAAAAAAAAAAATGAGCTGGGTGTGGTGGTGTGGCATGCCTGTAGTCCCAGCTACTTGGGGACTGAGGGTCGAGAATCGCTCTAACCTGGGAGGGGGAGGTTATAGTGAGCCGAGATTGTGACACTGCACTCCAACCTGAGCAACAGAGCAACACTGCATCTCAAAAAAAAAAAAAAAAAAAAAAAAAGGTGGGGTGGAGTGGCACTTTGGGAGGCAAGGCAGGTAGATGGCTTGAGATGAGGAGTTGGAGACCAGCCTGGTCAACATGGTGAAACCCCATCTCTACTAAAAATACAAAAATTAGGCATGGTGGTTCACTCCTGCAATGCCAGTTACTTGGGGGGGCTGAGGCAGGAGAATCACTTGAACCTGGAAGGCAGAGGTTGCAGTGCGCCACTGCACTCCAGCCTGGGTGACAGCAAGACTCTGTCTAAAAACAAAAACAAAAAAAGGATGCAGGGAGACAGAGGGAAGAAGAAAAGGGAGGAAGCAAAGAAACTTGGGCTTAGCACAGGGCCTGGAACTTAGCAGGTACTCCTTAGAATCTGACACTCCACTCCCTGCAGGACACAGGGCTACGTTTATGCCATTACAGAAAGGTCTTTCCCTTTCCGCCCAGGCACGAGAGGCCTTTCCATGAGCCTTATACATGACAAACAAACACATGAAACACATGTATTGAGGAACACAGGGTCATTTTGGCCCCATGGAATCCTGCGTGTGGCATTGGCCCAGCACGGGTCACCGTAAACACCGTCAGCCAGGACGAGCATGTGTCAGGCCTGGGAGAGCCTTCTCCACAAGGCCTGGCCCCTGACCTTGAAGAGATGGTGACCTTGTCTGGTCATCCTGGAGATTTGTGGGTTGTGGTGCTTCCAACATTGGAGTCACGCACTGCTTCAGAGAGCAGAGAGGATTTAGCCAAGGGAAGACCTTAGGCTGGAGAAAGACAGGTTGTTCCATTTGCCAAATTGTCAAATAGCGTAAATACTACTGATTCTTCTGTATGGAAATATTATTTCCCACTTGTCCTAGGTGCCTGCATTTATTCTCCTCGTGTTTGAATTTGGGCTTGAGAGGCATTCACAGATTAGCATGTTTCACAACAGTTGTATATGGTGACCAAGAAACATTGTATAATATTACACAAGTCATATTATTATGTTCTTTTCTTTCTTTCTTTCTTTTTTGAGACAGAGTCTTGCTCTGTCATCCAGGCTGGAGTGCAGTGGCACAGTCTCGGCTCACTGCAACCTCTGGGTTTAAGCAATTCTCCTGCTTCAGCCTTCCGAGTAGCAGGACTTCAGGTGAGTACCACCACGCTCAGCTAATTTTTGTATTTTTAGTAGAGATGTGGTTTCACCACATTGGCCAGGCTGGTCTTGAATTCCTGATCTTAGGTAATCTGCCCACCTCAGCCTCCCAAAGTGCTGGGATTACAGGCATGAGTCACTGAGATATTATTCTTAAATGTGCCTAGGTAGGGTCCAGATAAAATATGTGCGAAGTATAATTCCAGCTATTTATGTTACTCTACGGCTCTAGCTATTGCTTTAAGAGATGAGGAAGATTGCCATTATAACTGATAGCAATTCACATGATAAAAATTACACTTGTTACATATTTTCTGCAATAAAGATACTTGTCATATGTGTAGGGGCCAAGGGACAGCTTTCCCCTTTGTCCTCTAAAGATTTGCTTAAAAAAAAAAAAAT